TTTCTGCTCCATCCTTATTGCACTTATAAACTCATGAGGGGTCCCTTTATTAATGGCATAAAGGATTCTGGGGTTCTGAGATTTTATTTCAACACACAAAAAACCCTATTATTGTGTAAACAAGCATTTCCACAGCAATTATTCTGTGCTTTATAAATCATTCATTTATTCCTCACAGCTACCCTGTGAGGTAAGTACTACAATCACCCCTATTTTACAGATGAGAACATTGTGAAACAGAGAAGTTAAATGACTTGCCTAAGTCACATGGAGAATCTGGATTCCAGATGCTGTATTGTTAAGCCCTCCCCCATGCTGCCTCCCACTGGCATGGGAAGCCTCACATGATAACAGTCACAGCTAAGGGACATGTGTACACACAATACAGAGACTGTCCCCAGGCCTCATCCCTGACTTCCCCAAAGCTTACCCTGTCCCTCCCCAGGATGACTCTGTACACACACACACACAAGGAGGGTAGAGAGACGTCCAACAGCCTCCCTTTTCTTATTGGTTCTTTCTGTCCCTTCTGGGATGTGGAGATGCAGTAGGGGGTGCGGCTGCTTCACATCTGACTTCTCGGGGGCAGTCAGAGTATTCTGGGCCAATATGGCTCTATCACCAAAGAACCAAAAGCCAGTGTAGACGCAGGCGGGTCAGATGACTGCCTTTTCACTTCACACCCTCTGGGCCTGGAGAGGGTCTGGCTGGGTGGTCATAAGACCCACCTCTCTTCTGAAACCTGAAACCTGGGGGTGTAAAGTGCCAGGAGAGCTCCCTTTCCACCACTTGGGGAGAAGGAAACGAAGCCTTTTCCTGAGACCACCCACTCACCCCGTGTTTGCTGACGATGTTCTGTGGGTGTGTGGGGACAGGGCCACAAAGGTGGATCAGGAGCAGATCTCTGTCTTATAGGACCCTGTTTAATAGAGGAAGGACGGATGAGTCAACAGTGGCTGTGATTCAGCATGCCGGGCACAGGCGGAGGCGATTACAGCAGAAAAGGAGGCTGAGCTCCTCTGGGGCAGGGCAGGGAAGGTTTTGCAGGACCTGCCCTTGAGGTGGGTCTTAGAGAGTGGGTCAGGTTTAGCCCTGGGAAGAGGCGCGTATTGCAGGTGAGGCATGTAGTCCCTGCAGTCTAAGCAACCAGGCAGTTTGTGAGCGTTCATCTGGCTGTAGCCAAGGCTGCCTGGAAAGAGGACAAGAGAGTCACCAGGGGAGTGGGGGTCAGATCACCAAGGTCTCACCTATGGGGCTGTGGAGTTCAGCCTTGAAGTTTCCATGCAAGCAGAGGAAGCAGTCACCCTCTTCAGAGAGCAGGATGAGGAGTCCTGGCAAGCTCAGAGGGACTAAGAGGTAGGCAAGAGGGACAGGAGATGGTCCACTTAGATTCTTAATGTTTGTATTAAGCTTTAATGGAGTTCTCTATTAGTCAGAGCTCTTATACCCAGCAGAAACCCATGGGGACCAACTTAAATAAAAATCATGTTGGCTCACATAACTGGAGGACACTTCGAGAGTCTCAAGGATCAAAGGAACTGGAGCTCAGGACTCCAGGCCAGCAGGACCTCCTCCTTGCCGCATCTCTTCTCCTCTTGTCCCTGCTTGGATTTCTTCTGCAGGTTCCTTTCACAAGGCAGAGAAGAGGGCTGTCCCAGCCCATGCCTCTGTCACCTCAACTAGTAGTGTCAGTGTAAAGAGGACCTCCTTCCAATGTCTGCATATTAACTGCCAAGAAGGATCTGCTTGGTCCCCTTTGGGTCACTGAGATTTTTCAGTCTAATCATCACCGTGGCTGGGCACACGGGATGCTGGGATGAACCCACCCAGGGTCCACATTTTTAGAGGAGGCAGAAGCAGGAGATACCACCACATCTCACAGCTCCTCAAGACCATGTGGAGTGAGGGAGAGGTCCCCAAAGAAAAGGGGACAGAGTTATCAGGAAGGGCCTGGGAAATGGGCTGGCCAGCGAGCAATGGAAGCTGCCCCTTCTATTTTTATCTTTTGGCACTGAGGATTGACCCCAGGAGCACTTTACCCCTGAGCTACATCCCCAGCCTTTTTATTTATTTATTTTTAAGACAGGGTGTCACTAAGTTGCTGAGGACCTTGCTCAATTGCTGTGGCTGGCCTTGAACTTGTCAGCCTCCTTCCTCAATCACTGGGATTACAGGCGCGTGCCACTCTGCCTGACAGGAGTTGCCACTTCTGTGTGTCAGATGTTCTGCTAAAGGCTGGAGATTCCGTCTCTACCTTCAAATACTCCACAGTGCAGGTGAAGGTTCTGATGTCTAGTAAAGGTCACAAGGAGGATGGGACGCAGCCATTCTCCAGAGACGGTGGGAACTCAGAAAGATGGGCATGCCACCCAGAGGAAGGCAGAAAGAAATCAGGACAAACTGGGTAAAAAATGCCCCTCCAGGGGCTGGGGCGGTAGCTCGGTAGCACGTGTGGGGCACTGGGTTCAATTCTCAGCACTGCATACAAATAAATGATTTTTTTTTTTTAAAAAAAGAACAATTTTAGGGCTGGGATGTGGCTCAAGCGGTGGGCGCGCTTGACTGGCATGCGTGCGGCCTGGGTTCGATCCTCAGCACCACATACAAACAGGGATGTTGTGTCCGCCGATAACTAAAAAATAAATATTAAAATTCTTTCTCTCTCTCTCCCTCTCTCTTTGAAAAAAAAAAAAAAACAATTTTAAAAATGCCCCTCCACTGAATTATGGAAGATGAGAAAATTAGCCTAGCCAAAAAAAAAAAAGAGGAAGTTCAGAAGAGGCAGTGAAATGTAGAGGCACAGATCTTAGAGGCTTGGGATTCTGGCTTAGGAAAGGGGTCAACTGTCGTGTGATTCCAGGAGAGGAACACAGGAGGAGTTTGCGATTGAAGCAGAGGAACTGGAGAGTTCAGATTGACATGGGAGGGGTGAGGGGAAACATGTGGCTCACTCAGATAGAGATACCTGGTAGATGACTAGATTATTTTGGATCTAGAGGTTTAGAAAAAGGAATAAGTGGTGGAGATAAATTTGGGGTTCACCCAGCTGGACAGACGGTGTGGCTCAGATGAACAGAGCTGCGGAACACCCGTGTTCACTGAGCAGGTGAACTCAGAATCTGAGTCTGAAGGAAGGAGGCTGAGAGAGGCGGGTGCAGGGGAGCAGCAACCGTGACACAACGGTTTGTGCTTTCTGGTCCCAAAGGCCCTGCGTATGTCATCCTCCCTCCTCCTTTGTAAATTTCCAGGGGAAAGAAAATGTTACCTTCCAAGAAATGAAAATCAGGTTGTCAGCAGCAGAACCTGATGCAAATCAAATCTTCAAAAGAGCAGAGGGTGAGTTAAGACCACCAGTTGTCCCCAACACCTGTTCTCTGGTTCTTTCTTAGCAACGGAACCTTGAATTCGTAGCTGGCCGCATGGCCATCCAGAATGAAGTCTCCCTTTCCGGCCTCACTTGAAGCTAACATGGTTAAATTCCAACTGCCTCTTCCTTCTTTGCACTTTCTTCCATTCTCCTGGCCTCAGTCTGAGGCCTTCATCATCCCATCATCTTGGACCAGGACGACAGCGAGGTCTTGAGTGTTGCAGAAGAGAAAACTGGAAGAAGCCTCATCCCCTCCAGTCTTTTACATAAGTTGAAGCCACTGCTATTTTGAGTCTCTTATTTACAACTAAACTCTATCCTAACTGATATTGAGAGGAAATTATACCCAGCCAAAATATCAATCAAGTATGAGAATAAAACAAAATCAATTTGGAGCAGGCAACCATCCAAAGAGAAGTCAGGAAACAGATGTTCAAATACAGTGTTTAAAGCCCTTAAAGTAAATAAGTATGTAATTGACAGGGATTTGGGGAAAAGGGGAACTGTGAAAGCAAGTTAAATCCATCAACTTTCATTGCAGAGAGTCGAGAGATACTGCTTAAAGTTAATAAATTAGCCACAGAGAGATAAGTATATTTTCTAACACTGTCAGGAAAGCTAAAAAGAGAAGTGGTTAAAAATTATCACTTCTGCCAGGCGTGGTGGTGCATACCTATAATCCCAAGGAGCCTGGAACAGGAGGATCACAATTTAGAGGCCAGCCTCGCAGTTTAGTGAGACCCTCAGTAACTTAGTGAGACCCTGTCTCAAAACAAAAAATAAAAAAGAACTGGGGAAGTGGCTCAGTGGTAAAGCACCCCTGGGTTAAAACCCCAGTACCAAACAACAACAACAAAATTTACCACTTTTCAATTTTACATTACATTTACTTTACAATTTATTTTTTTTATTTTACCTCGTGCCCTGAGGAATGGAGCTGGCCTTCTATGGACTAAGACCTCTGAAACCACCAGCCCTCAAATAAACTTTCCTTCCTCTACAATTGTGCTGGTTGGGTCCTTTAGTCACAAGAGCGTAAAAGCTGACTAAAACAATGGTTCTGGAGACTGGGAAGGCCAAGGGCATAGCAGTGGCATCTGGCAAGAGCATCATACATGATGGAATGTAAAAGGGCAAGCAAGTGCATGCAAAAGACAGCAACAGAGGCCAGGCTTACCTGACAACAACCCACTTTGATGATAATTAAGCCATTAGTGTGAGAAAGGTATTAATCACTTCTAATGACCTGATCATCTGGTAAAGGCTCCATCTCTCACCACTATCACAATACAATCCAATGTCAACGTGAATTTCAGAGGAGGACAAACCACATTCAAACCATAACAGCTTATAACATATATTTTGTGATGTATATTTCTAAAAAGAAAGGGGGAGCTGGATACGGTGGTACACGCCTGTAATCCCAGCAACTGGGGAGGCTGAGGCAAGAGGATCACAAGTTTGAGGCCAGCATCAGCAACTTAGTGAGGCCCTAAACAACCTAGCAATACCGGGTCTCAAAAAATAAAAAGGAGGGGCTGGGGTTGTGGCTCAGTGGTAAAGCGCTTGCCTAGCATGTGTGACACACTGGGTTCGATTCTCAGCACCACATACAAATAAATAAAATAGGGCCATGGCGTGGGTACCATCCGAGTCTGCAGTGGAAGAGTTGATGCCCCGGCTATTGCCAGTGGAGCCCTGCGACTTGGCGGAAGGTTTCCACCCCTCGGTACCTCCGAGGAAGCCTCAGGAATACCTGAGGCGTGTTCAGATCGAAGCTGCTCAGTGTCCAGATGTTGTGGTAGCTCAAATTGACCCAAAGAAGTTGAAAAGAAAGCAAAGTGTGAATGTTTCTCTTTCAGGATGCCAACCTGCCCCTGAAGGTTATTCCCCAACACTTAAGTGGCAACAGCAACAAGTAGCACAGTTTTCAACTGTTCGACAGAGTGTGAACAAACATAGAAGTCACTGGAAATCACAACAGTTAGACAGTAATGTGACTATGATTGGTTTTCCTCCATTGCTTAGTATTGTTAGCAGAATGAATCAGGCAACAGTAACTAGTGTCTTGGAATATCTGAGTAACTGGTTTGGAGAAAGAGACTTTGCTCCAGAATTGGGAAGATGGCTTTATGCCTTGTTGGCTTGCCTTGAAAAACCTTTATTACCTGAGGCTCATTCACTGATTCGGCAGCTTGCAAGAAGGTGCTCTGAAGTGAGACTCTTAGTGGACAGTAAAGATGACAAAAGAGTTCCTGCCTTGAATTTATTAATCTGCTTGGTTAGCAGGTATTTTGACCAACGTGATTTAGCTGATGAGCCATCTTGATGTAGCTGATTTCTGAGGGATAGAAGCTATTTCTGCTGAAGGCAGCCTAAGTCTGATGAAGTACAATGCCAATTCAAGTACAGGCTGTTATCACTTCTTCAAAACTGTGTGAAAGGTCTTCATTTTAACCTGTGCAACTCAAATTGATAAACAGAATATAGACTGAATTGATTTTCTGAAATATCTTTGGAAAATCCCACTTGGTGTTTGATGAACAATTTGAATAGTTTTCTGCAGTCACATGATTTAAAATAAATTGAGTGCCAGTTATTGGTGAAGATGCCTGTATAGAAACTGTGTGATGAAATTTTATAAAGGTCCCCGGTGCTATTTCATTGTTTGTTACATGTCTTCATATAAATTTTGTTGAAAATGTGTTTTGGTTACCAAAACTTTGTTTTACTTTTGAACAAAACAAGATAATGTCCTTAGAATTAGAAAATAATCTAGATTAAATGGCAAATATGAGTCAGCAACAGAATTAATCAAATGTTTTCTCTTTAAGCTCAATAAGTTTATTAAGTGCTTTATTGCATAAACAACTTTTTCTATAGGTTTAATGCAATGCCAATCAAAATCCCAACGGCATTTCTTGTAGAAATAGAGAAAGCAATCATGAAATTCATATGGAAAAATAAAAGACCCAGAATAGCAAAAACAATGCTAAGCAGGAAGTGTGAATCAGGCGGTATAGCGATACCAGACTTCAAACTATACTACACAGCAATAGTAACAAAAACAGCATGGTACTGGTACCAAAACAGGCGGGTGGACCAATGGTACAGAATAGAGGACACAGAAACCAATCCACAAAACTACAACTACCTTATATTTGATAAAGGGGCTAAAAGCATGCAATGGAGGAAGGATAGCATCTTCAACAAATGGTGCTGGGAAAACTGGAAATCCATATGCAACAAAATGAAACTGAATCCCTTTCTCTCGCCATGCACAAAAGTTAATTCAAAATGGATCAAGGAGCTTGATATCAAATCAGAGACACGCCGTCTGATAGAAGAAAAAGTTGGCTACGATCTACATACTGTGGGGTCGGGCTCCAAATTCCTCAATAGGACACCCATAGCACAAAAGTTAATAACTAGAATCAACAAATGGGACTTACTCAAACTAAAAAGTTTTTTCTCAGCAAAAGATACAATAAGAGAGGTAAATAGAGAGCCTACATCCTGGGAACAAATCTTTACTCCTCACACTTCAGATAGAGCCCTAATATCCAGAGTATACAAAGAACTCAAAAAATTAGACAATAAGAGAACAAACAACCCAATCAACAAATGGGCCAAGGACCTGAACAGACACTTCTCAGAGGAGGACATACAGTCAATCAACAAGTACATGAAAAAATGCTCAACATCTCTAGCTGTCAGAGAAATGCAAATCAAAACCACCCTAAGATACCATCTCACTCCAGTAAGATTGGCAGCCATTAGGAAGTCAAACAACAACAAGTGCTGGCGAGGATGTGGGGAAAAGGGTACACTTGTACATTGCTGGTGGGACTGCAGATTGGTGCAGCCAATTTGGAAAGCAGTATGGAGATTTCTTGGAAAGCTGGGAATGGAGCCACCATTTGACCCAGCTATTCCCCTTCTCGGTCTATTCCCTAAAGACCTAAAAAGAGCATGCTACAGGGACACTGCTACATCGATGTTCATAGCAGCACAATTCACAATAGCTAGACTGTGGAACCAACCTAGATGCCCTTCAATGGATGAATGGATAAAAAAAATGTGGCATTTATACACAATGGAGTATTACTCTGCATTAAAAAATGACAAAATCATAGAATTTACAGGGAAATGGATGGCATTAGAGCAGATTATGCTAAGTGAAGCTAGCCAATCCCTAAAAAACAAATGCCAAATGTCTTCTTTGATATAAGGAGAGTAACTAAGAACAGAGTAGGGTCGAAGAGCATGAGAAGAAGATTAACATTAAACAGGGATGAGAGGTGGGAGGGAAAGGGAGAGAGAAGGGAAATTGCATGGAAATGGAAGGAGACCCTCAGAGTTATACAAAAGTACATACAAGAGGAAGTGAGGGGAAGGGGAAAAATAATGCAAGGGGGACAAATGAATGTCAGTAGAGGGGGCAGAGAGAGAAGAGGGGAGGGGGGATAGTAGAGGATAGGAAAGGCAGCAGAACACAACAGACACTAGTATGGCAATATGTAAATCAATGGATGTGTAACTGATGTGATTCTGCAATCTGTATATGGGGTAAAAATGGGAGCTCATAACCCACTTGAATCAAAGTGTGAAATATGATATATCAAGAACTATGTAATGTTTTTGAACAACCAACAATAAAAAATTTAAAAAAAAAAACAAATAAATAAAATAAAGGTCCATCAACAACTAAAAAATATTTTAAAAAAATAAAAATAAAAAGGAAGGGGCATGTGGCTAGGTGGTAAGCACTCCTGGGTTCAACTCCCAGTATATAAATAAATAAATAGAATGGAAGGAAGGATGTAAAGTAACAGAGGTCCAGAGTCTAGAAAATGTGCCCCCAGAGGGAGATGGACAGGGAGGTCAGTTGTTCCACAGTAAATCTGATTGCTTCTGATTTTCGCCACTGGGTTTGTCTCATCCTTTATCCTCAGGGCCAGACTGGGGAGGAATTTAAAGACCTGCTCAAATGCCCCACTTCCTGTTGGCAAAGCTTGAGTTGGAATGACCTTAGGGCTGAGCAGGCAGAGGCCCCCTTTTTGCCAGGGTCAGAATTTCTCTGGTAATAGGACTCCCTTAAATCCCTCTTGGCTTTCTGCCATTGCAATTCCTGGGGACGCCATGCACAAGTGACCATTGCCAACAATCTCCCTTGGTCATGAAATTTGATTCTGATCCCCCTCTCTAGTGGATTCTGTCTTTTAGCCAGAGATCTGGAGGCTCCCCTCTTCGTCCAGATGTTAGGTTCAGCTTTTCCCTTGGCATATGAACATCTCAGGTTCACGGATTAGGACACTGAATTTCCTTTGGGGAGGGTCTATCGTCCCCATCCCATCCCACTCTCAGCCAGGATATTAAATATATTTCATCTGAAATGTCTTATACCCCCAAATCTAGGGACATGCTGATCAGTATATTCCCATCACCATAATCAAAATGACTGGTGATGAACACATGGTGTTTGGCAGCCCACTTATAGCAAATTGCAGGATTTTTTGCTGAGAATGCTGAGATATGGACTTGCTCTTTCTTACTGGTATTGAACAAGGAAGTTTGTAATCCCTGGAGCTCCTGTCAGCCCTGAGTGCTGTTGGGATTATAAAGAGAGAAATACAGACAACAAAAACAGGGAGCTGAGACAGGAGAACTGCAAGTTCAAGGCCAATGTCAGCAATTTAGTGAGGCCTTAAGCACTTTAGGGAGACCCTCGTCTTAAATAAATAAATAAAATAAGGGCTGTGGCTCAATGGTAGAGTGCTTACCTAGCATGTGTGAGACACTGGGTTGGATTCTCAGCACCACATATAAATAAATAAAATAAAGATCTATTGACAACTAAAAAAATATTTTAGGGCTGGGGGTGTGGCTCAGTGGTAGAGTGCTCACCTAGCATGCACGAGGACTGGTTTCCATCCTCAGCACCACATAAATGTAAAATAAAGATATTGTGTCCACCTAAAACTTAAGAATAAATGTTTTTTAAAAAATATTTTAAAAATCAAAATAATTTTTTTTTTTTAAAGGTTGGGGATGTAACTCAGTGATAAAGTGCCCCTGGGTTCAAGGTTCCATCCCCAGGATCACCCCCCCACCCCCATTAATTGCAGAGCAGGCTTAATGAATGCTAGCTGCAGGGTAGCCTGGACACTGGGCCCCCATCCTTCTGGTTCCTTATCGCTTGTTTGCCTCAAGGCTGAACACTCGACCCCCACCTGTCTGGTGCTAAGGGTGTCAACTTAGCAACTACTGTATGATCCAGTCACTGTACGCCAACAAGGCAGCTTGCAGACCCAGAGACTCCATTAGATTTTGGCTATAAAAACTCTCTCCTGGCAGACCCTCCTCTCTCTCACTCTCTCTAACCCCCCCTTCTATCTCTCTCTCTCTCTCTCTCTTACTTTGCTTTATCCCTCTCTCTCTCTCTTTCCCTGCTCTCTCTCTCTTTTTTTTTTCTCTTCATTCCCTGTTAATCAGACACTGCCGCAGTAAATATTTCTTGGTCGCTCTGAGTGTTGTGGTCACTTTCATTTTACCCGCCTCAAAATAAATAAATAAATAAAGTGCGTGTGTATAAATAAATAAATATATATATATATATATATATATATATATATATATATATATATATAAAAAAGGATCATTTCTTTTGGCCCCAACTAATTTAACTTTAGCAGCTTCAGTGGACCTAGATCATTGGCCAGAAGCAAATCAGATCTTTCTTAACAAAGCTAAAGTTCTCTGGTGATTCAGCTTAAAAGAAAGATTCCTGCTGCCTGACAGAACTTTACTGAAGACCACAGAAGAATGTCATGTTCCGTATCTAATATTTTTCCATCAAGTCTCTAATAACTCCAGTACCATTAGGCACAAGTATGAGTCCTAAGATCAAGATTCTTTTAGTTGCAAAGAAAGCAACTCCACTCATATTTAAACAAGAGGGAGCTTTTTGGTTCATAGGATGGGAAAGGTAGGGGTATATTAGAAACAGAGACAAAATACTGTTAGTCTCTCTCTCTCTCTCCTATCTCTGTTTGGTTTTTACACTCTGTGTTTCAGGGATTTTTTTTTTTTTTTTAATGTTCCCTGTGTCCTTTGCCATCAATCATATCCTTTGTCCCCCAACAACCACTGATCTTATTTCTATGGTTACAAATTAGTTCGCCTGTTCTAGAACTTCATTACAAAGAGAATCTTTACAGTATGTACACTTTGAGCCTGACTTTTTTCTTTTTTAAAGAGAGAGTGAGAATTTTAATATTTATTTTTTAGTTATTGGCGGACACAACATCTTTGTTTGTATGTGGTGCTGAGGATCGAACCCGGGCCGCACGCATGCCAGGCGAGCGCGCTACCGCTTGAGCCACATCCCCAGCCCCAGGGATTTTTTTTGTTTGTTTGTTTCTGCTTTTGTTACCAGGGGTTGAACCTGGGGCGCTTAACCACTGAGCCACATCCCCAGCCCTTTTTATTTTTTATTTAGAGACAGGATCTCTCTAAGTTGCTTCCGGTCTTGCTAAATTGCTGAAGCTGACTTTGAACTTGCAATCCTCCTGTCTCTGCTTCCTGAGCTGCTGGGATTACAGGTGTGAGCCATTGTGCCCAGAAGTTGCAACTTCTTAGTCTACCAGTTTAGAATGGGTTTTTCTGTACATATAGAGAATGTTAGCTACAGTGACATCCAACAC